CTTATTGCAGCTACCTGGCTCCTGAATATGCAATGACCGGCCATCTTCTTGTCAAGAGTGATGTATACAGCTATGGAGTTGTACTCCTTGAGCTCCTAACAGGAAGGAAGCCTGTGGATTTATCACAGCCACCAGGTCAAGAAAACCTTGTGGCTTGGGTTCGTCCGATTCTCACAAGCAGGGAGGGTTTACAGACAATCATAGACCCAGTTATAGAGACCAATGTTTCTTTTGAAGCTGTGGTGAAAGTTGCAGCTATTGCATCGACGTGTGTGCAGCCAGAAGTCTCTCAACGTCCTTTCATGGGTGAAGTTGTTCAGGCATTGAAGCTGGTTTGCTGTGAGTTTGATGATACAGGCATTATGAGATCAAGGAGCTTCCATGAAGAGAGTCTTCTAATCGATGGAGATGGGAAATTTTCAAGTATTTCAGGTGAGATGATTGGTTTCCAGACATTAACAGAATCAAAGTTGCTCAGTCTATCGTCTGGCCAGGAATTTGAGTCCTTCAGAAGGCATTCTGCTTCAGAGCTTTACACTACCGAGAAAAAAAGAAAGGCATGGCAAAAATTGCGAAGTTCATCAGGAGGGAGCATCAGTGAGCATGGATTTTCAAACTTCCCCACAACTTGAGTACAAATTCTGATGAGAATGAAGCTGTGTTCATTGCTGAAAGGGGGATGAACATATTTCAAGCTGCAATCTGACTCAAAGCATCGGACAGTTTGGGTAGCTCTTGGTCAGATTTCGGGGGAAAATGAATTTTTCTGGACACTCAAAATCCAGAGGAAGCCAATTTGGAAGAGACAAACCTGAAACCTGTGAAGCAAAGCGAATAAAACATTTGTAGCAATTGAGCTGATCTGTTCACCTTGACATTGTAGCTTAGAATTGGGAGCTGTATCCTCATTTTAAAGCTCCTGAGATACCATCGGACAGGAAGATTCAGACTGAAAATCAGCTGTGAAATCAGTCATTGGAGAGTTGTTTTTAATTACATTTTTGTTGGTCATAGTAAATATTAGTTATCTTAAGCATTATCACATGAGTGTGACTTGCGTCTTTCTAATGGGGAGATACTTCCTCCCTTTGACATGTTATTCTAAATAATTTGACAAATAACCTATGTGAAAATTTAGGGTCATTCATCTTGATATATGCAGGGTACTTAAAGAAGGCGTGAGAAGAAAGCCCTATAAAGAGATAGTAGGAAACCAAGAAATATACTTGAAATAAATCATTAATCGAGTTCTACTGGACAAGACACGTGAAAATCATATTATCCTTATGCTCCTCATGTAATTAAAACATAACAATTTCGTCCTTATTGTTACAAAGAGTAAACGACCATTGGTTGAATGGTGTGGGACCCGTTTAATGTTTAGGTGGCATCTACATGAGAAGAAAGGTAAAACAAAATGAATTTCTCTCTTTGGATAAAGAGCATGTTCCACCTCAGATGAACTTGAGAAAGATTTTGATTATATAAACGGATATGTTACACACTAGAGTCGGAAAAACAGGCTAAGTCCATTGGGTTAGCTCGTTTAAACCTGTATAATAGTAGGGCTGGACTTGCAAATATGACTCCAAAATGATAAATCGGGCTAAACCGTTTAAGTCTGTTTAATTTAGAACTTAAAGGGTTGGCTTTGCAGGGTCGAAGGCCAGCTTGTTTAAGCCTGCATGTGTATATTTTTTTTTAATTAATTCTCATGACTTTCACTCTTTTTAAATATGAAAAAAAATTAAACTAAATTTTACTCCACATTACATGTCAACCCATATCTACTAAGAATCGGAAGGCCAAAAAAAGGAAAAAAATAGCGTGAAGAATCACTAATCACAAATTATATCAGTCAAGGATCACTTGTTATCAAAATTCGAGAGATACTTGTAAATTCGGGTTAGCCTTTATCAATAAATATTTATTTAGGTTTTAATAATAACTCATTTTAAATTAACAACAGTTCATTGCTTGTTTTTCATTCAGGTTTTGACAATAATTGATTCTTAATTGATATAAATTTCATACAAAAATCCTTGGTTACTATTTTCTAAAAAAAATACAATCTTAAATCTCCTAATTCATCTAAATTCACGAAATGATTCATTTAGTTCAACATTTACTCTTCTTTCTTCAATATGCTTTTCTCTTTTTTGCTGCTACAAGTTGTCCTTGCTTTTCAGCAAGTCATTGCATCGCCGTCCCCGTCCCTGTCATCATAACCCACAAGTCATCTTTGCTCCTATTTTTACTCACTCTTCAGTCGTCCTTGTTACTCACTCCAATAGTGCTCCCTCTTAAGAGCCAAATCTCAACAATGCTCAACTAGTTGATGCTTCTTGTCATCGATCTCCTAAGTCTTCCTATCACTTATCATGCTCGTGCATTCATGACTTATGAGCTAAGCTCTATCTGATGCACATATTATGTATGTGCTCTTTGTTTTCTTGATCTTCTAGTCCCATATCTCAGTCCTTCAAGGCTCACTCTCATTTAATTTTGATTGAGTGTTTGTTAGCTTAGCTGATCCATTACTTATTGCCTTACTATCATTTCATTTATGTTTTTAGTTCATTTAGATGTTATTTAGTTATTTTTTTTATCTTTTTGATTGAGTATTATATTAGAATGAAGTGATTTTTTGTTTAATTAAAAAATTAAAAAAAATTAAAAATAGTTAAAAGGGCTTGAAACTTGTAGGGCTGACCCTGAACCCGCTATATAAGAGCTGGGTTTCTTATATCAAGCTTTTAAAGAAAACTCAAGTTTAAAAAGGTTGACCTTTTTAGGTTCGAGCCTTTCAAGAGAATTAAGCTAGTCTATTTTTTTAATTCTATTATACACTCCACTATATTAGCTTTTTCAGGAAAGAACAATAGCTTTGTAACAAAGTGACGTTAAAGCCAAATTCAAATTTGCTCAGTCAGTCAATGAGCCTTTTACTAGGCTACCAATAATAAAGGAGTCACGACTTAATTGGGAGATCTGTCATGTTTCACATCCAACAGACTTGAGGTCCAAATAAGCTAGCTCTTTGGAAAGGTGTAATGAACTCGTGACCACAAGCCCTCCCTCCGTCGCTGCTTTCCTTTGTCCATTATAACACACTAGAGCTCATGGCGACGCCAACAATGATGTCTTTGTTGGCACCAACGCTACTCTCCACGACAAGCTCTTCCTCATTAACTTCTTCTCTGGACCTACCATTCCCGGCAGCCTACTTGAAACACTAAAACATCATGGCCGTTGCAATTGCTATTTACCCAGCTGAACACATCGCCGAAGAACTTGACTTCAATCCCATCGATCATGATTCTCTCGTTCCCTCTGAATTTCCAGGTCAGTCTTTTCAAAAAGAACTAGTTCAAGGAGCTCGCACCTCTATCGCTTCTGCCATTGCCATCGACCTCGAAGCTCGGCGTCTTCATCTCCCCCTCTCTTCATCGCCGTCGACCTCGATGCTCTTCCTCTCCTCCATCGTCCGCGACGACCTCAATGCAAATGCTCGGACAAAGGAGTATGTGCATATTCACGTAGAGCAGCGAAATGATAGAAAAAAAGTGAAAAATTGATCCTCTTCTTGAAAAATTTATCACACGTTGATCTCATTCCAGGACTGAGCTTTAGATAGATGAGAGGAAAAGATGTAGAAAGAGGAGCTAGAGATAATGACAGTAAACAGACGACGAGTAGAGAGAGAGGGGGCAAGACGAAGGAGAATGGTTGAGTCCTAATTAGCATTTCAACCTAGTTCCACCGCAGCATTTCGGGTCAAATTTTAGTCCAACTAAGCAAACCAAATGGTGAATGTCTCGAGAGTTAACGTTGGGTCAATGGGTGTACCAAATTAATTATATCAGAGGCAAGAACATTATGTAAAATATTTTAAAATATGAGGTGTTTCTCAAAGAAAATATTAAGAAAAAAATACACCGTTATCCTTTATTATTTCTTGATTCTTAGTGATTGATAAAAAAATTGTTAGTTGATGACTGAGGTTATAAGAATTGCATAAATAATTTATCTAGAGTAAATATTTTAATATAAGATTTTAATGAAAGAGGTTTTAATTGAAAAAATATTTGAATATTTATAATAAAATGTGACACATATGTTTGCTTGAGTAAGTTTAGACTTTTGTAAAAATGAATATTTATTTTTAAGTTTTTTTTTATTTGTCATGATAGACTCTTTTCCATTATAGTACTTCTTCAATTTTAAATTATAAGATATTTTAAAATAAATCTCATGTATCAATAAATCTCATTAAATACATTTAACAATCTTATCTTTTTAAACTAAAAAAATATAAACTTTCAAAAATATTCATCATTTAATATATTGAACAGAGAAGAAATAAAAATTAATTATAGAAAAAGAAAGGATAATATTGAAATTAATACATTTAATGAAACCTTAATCTATCCAAAGTATTTTATATTTTGAAATGAAAAAACTCCTTTAAAAATACTCTATAATTTGGAAGGATGGGAGTATAATTTTAAATAATAAGGTCAAACTTTTAATATTTTTATAACCTTTTTAACTAATTTAATCTTTTTCTATCAAAGTTAATTGATTTTAGAGATCTTTTTATTAGCTAAATATTTTATAATCGTGGTAGCTTTTGAAAACAAGTTTAACTCTCTTTCATTATGGCTACCTCTTAAAAAAAATATTAAGAAACTAGTTTTAAACTTATACCATGGTAAATGATATTTTTATTGATTCAAATCTTTTATTTCTTGATATTTGGTTAAATTTTTGTACTATGACTAGAGTGTTACAGATTGCACATTTGCACGGCGTCTAAACGAGTCATGTTATTCAAGGCTGGCTAGGAAACATTGCAATGTTCTATGGTATTTATAAACAGATAGTGAATATAAGATTTGTATCAGCAATTGTTTACCATTACAAGAGAATTGAAGCTAGGGAAAGGCAGCTAGAAAAGTCTGTCAGTGATCATTAAAAGATGTAACTCCAGAAGAAAATGATGGAACTGATATATAAGAACCGTGAAGAACTTGTATTACTGGATTTGTAAATATCACTGTATCAAACGCTTCACAATGAACGAATAGAAGATAACACAGTAGTGCCACACTCAGACACACTACTTATTCTCTCCAGCGTTTGCAAAGCTTTCAAAATAAGTTCAACAGACAATTTTACACCTTTAGCAACTTCTGCTTTTGAACAACAACCCCCCCCCCCCCAAAAAAAAAAAAACCCCCAAAAAGGTTATTTCAGATATAGGCCAAAGTTGCCCTTATAGCAAGTTTTTCTTCCTCAAGAAACCAAGATTTTTACTATTAATCTATTTTTACTGACAATTACAACAAATAGGCTATATTAATTTTCAACCCTACAACTAACACTGCTCCTTTTATCTTCATAATTCACCTTTCAATCCTTATATACCAGCCGATTTCCCCAACCTATCTCTTAAAATCTTCAGTCCCATGTACCTGTAACAAACAGACAGAAGTATTGGAGGAGATCATGTGTATAAGCTTTTCTAACAGGAGAGTTTGTGCAAAGAACAAGGCTCGAGTAAAATTTATCAAGCGTTTGACATCAGATTTTCTAACAGGAATATAGAGCATGGACATTTTTCCAAATCCAGCATCACATCACTGACTCATGAAAAGAAAATGTCACTTGAGAACTTGACAACAAACATTCCAAATTCATTTCTAGAAATTCTTAGGGTCAATATATATGAGTATAATCAGTTTTGTGCACGTAAGACCCGCATTTTAGATTGCTTTGGCTAAATCTTAACCCTTGCATGTTTATGCACTATATGTTACTTTAGAATTTCTTCTCTCTTCACATTATCACATACCTGCCCATCATCATTACGGTGGCTTGAGGATTAGTCCCTGGTGACTCAGTAAACGTTGAGCCATCCACCACACGGAGTCTATCAACACCAAGAACCTTATAATCATGGCTAACCACCCTCCCCACATGGCATCCACCATGGTAATGCCAAATAGTGATCACAGTGTCTCTGCAGAACTGCTCTAATGACTTTGTGTCATTGACATGCTTGGGCACAAGGTTCACATTAGCCTTCACTGTGAGGTTAAGAAGTGTGTTGGTACTTTCTTTGTCACACAAAGTGTAGTTCGTGAATCGATCTGACTGTACAACCTTGGCAGCTATTCGAATCCCCTCGACACATCGCTGAACATCATATGGGTGGTTGAAGTAGTTGAAGGTGACAGAAGGGTTGTCTTCCACATTGGTGTTGATCAGCTTGAGCTCACCCATTGACCAAGGGCTCGCTACTTTTGACAGGATGAAGCCTCCCCTGAATGCTTCAACTGGTATTTCTTGCTTACTTTTGACATAATCTTGAACAGCTTCAGGTGATCTCTCATGGGGAGGAATTGTGGAGAGCTGCCCAATCTGGTGTATTATGGTGTATAGAAAAGGAAAAATGCCTTTGGATTAGTATTATCTACTTGTTACTAATATTCTGACTTGAATATATGCTAATTTGCTCAAAAATCAAGTCTCTAAATTGATTAAATTGGACCAAATACACCCGCAAGCCAGCCCAACACATGAAACACTTTAAAATTCAACATTCTCCACAAATCCAATAAATTTAACCAACATATGCATACCTCAGCAGACAAGATACCATGGTGACAGTGGATGCTATCATTGGACTGACCAAAACCACTGCTAGCCTCAATGTACACTCCCATGTCGGTGACACCCACAGTTTCTATGAGTGACTGCTTCACTGGCCTTTTAGAAGGTAAAAAAATGGTGTTCAAGGGGTTATCAGCCATGCCCTTCCCAACATACGGGTTATCAAGCACCACCGTAATGTTCAAGCCTTCAAGTTCTTCTTTAGGACCAATCCCACTGAGCATCAGCAGTTGTGGTGTCCCAATAGCCCCACAAGACACTATCACCTCACTGTGCCCATTATGCCTCAGAAACGCCTCATGCTGTTTCCCATTTTCATCCTTGAAAATTACCCCCACAGCTTTTGGCCTTTTTCCTGTATAATTAACAGAGTAAAAAACTAAAATTCTCTACACTAGATATGATAATTTCATCATGTTCTGTAACAACGCTTGTTTTTGTTTACCTCTTGTGTTGAAGACGATATTGTGGACAGTGGCGTAGACGAGAACAGAGAGCTTTCGAGGGTTTGCAGAAGCAAGAAGCTCGGCGGCAGAGTGGCGGTGGCCAAAACGGTCGAAGATGGTGCCCCCGACCTTGGTACCATGGACATGATTGAAGGTGAAGCCATTGAAAGGAGAAACGCCAACTTCCAGAAGGCCATCCCTCACTGCTCGTTGCCAAGGTGCGATCTTTGGACGGTACACAATTTGCCTCTCGACCCATGGGTATGACTCGTTCACCACTCTCGCATCCCACCCCACTTTCTTTATAAATCTGGCATTCCTTCCAACTTAGTACATTTACACCGCCTTCGTCATTATTACTTTGTTAGTTATGAACTATGAAGCATCAAATTGAGATCTTTATAAAACTTCAAAATAATGTCTACTTTGTTTACCATCATACTAACTAATAATATGTAAAAAATATGAGAGGGTGTGTGGTGGTGGCAAGGGGATTTCACCGGTCTGCGCTTGGGGAATCTTGGGAGGTAGGCGATACGCTGATAGGAGATGGTGAAGCTGGGCTTTGGGGGTGGATTGCCGATAAGGGATGTTCGTGATGGGAAAGATGGGGAAGTTTTGTGACAATGGCTCCAATTCGAGTGAGCGATGGGACATGGGCTAGTGACACTTGAGATTCACCTATAGTATTGTTTTTATTAGTGGGGAATAAAGTGGTACGACAATGATAAATAATTTATTAAAATTCTAAAATGATATATTAAAAATTATAAATTATTTCAAATAAAACTAAAATTCTAAAATGATGATATATTAATATTAGAAAGACGTAAGAGCATTTAAATGTATGGATTCCCCTTTGAATCTGAAAAGCCAACCTGATTCACTGGCATGTCATTAATATTTTGGAAGAAAAGGACCACAGTGAACAATTGATTGGTTATTTTTAGAAAGTCATAAATATGGGAGGGAGAGGAGGGCCTAAAAATGAATGTCTTGGGAATTTTTTATACAAGGCACAATTGCAAAGATACACATTCTTGTTTTTTTTTTTTTTTTACCAATACAAATCTACACATTCATATTTAATGATTTACGACCTTCTTTTAGTGCGAAGAAAATTCACACGCTTATATAGAGCGTGCAATTTGCAACTTCTCTCTTATTTTGTTGCTATGCCTACTCTGTCCCGTCATATCCTTATTATTATTAAAATCTTCCTATTTTTAATAAAAACAATGTTAAAAATTAATTATTTTTTATTGATTTCAGAAAATAGTTAAAAATACTTTATAATAAGAATAGGAAATAAAATGTCACTAAGTCATTAGCAATGTTTTGAAATCTACAATGATTTGTTTTAACATTAAATATTAAATGGCAAAACTGTCCTGAATTTTTTTTAGAGGTGCTTGATATCCTAAATTTTTTAGAGTATTTTTGTGTCGTTAATTTAAAAAAGAGAGCATTTTTGTCCATCATTAAATATGAAGAATGTTGACCATTAATTAAAGTTTGATCATAATATTTTACAATTTTATCCTTCTTCGTTTATGTGTTTTTCTATTTTTATTTTTATTTGTTTGAAGAAGAAAAGTTAAAGATTCGCTGAAGAACAAAATCTAAGACTAAGCACAGTTGGAAGGAGTGAAAAATAAAAAAATATGATTGATAAAATTTTAATTTAACAGTTAATATTTTTGATATTTAACGGTGAAAGAAAAACACTCTCTTTTTTTAAACTTTCAAAATAAAAATACTTTAAAAAAAGTTTAAGATGCCAGATATCTTGAAAAAAAAGTTTCACCCCTTTAACCCTTATTTTAATTTTAGTATTAACGTCAGACTCTTCCTCCCATGATATGTATAATATATATGGGAATAATTGTTTCTTAGCCTGATTAGGGATAAGATTTTAAAGAACTAAAAGATTGACATGAATGATTTGCTTTAAGAATTTTAATCCCTGAAAATATTTATAATAACCATACTTCTTTGTTACGATTAACAACTCATATTACTGATTCATATCAATTAAAAAATTAATTATAATTAGTTGACTTTCTTTTCAGAAAAGCATTCATTAAATGTAATTTCTTAATAATTTCTTTCAATCCCTCTCTTCACATTTTTAGTTATAAAAATATCAATAGCTTCATAGATATTACGAAAAGACATATACACAAGAATATAAAAAAACTTTAAACGTGACTTATAAATTTAAAAAAAAAAAGAGATTGTAATAATAGCATGTAAAAAATAATGATTTAATTTAGAAATTAGAATAACAGAAATCTTAGATTAGATGGTGATAGTAGCTAATGTCAGTGTGCTTTACTTTCTCTTAATTTCAAGAAAATTAAACACTGTTGACTTAAATTAAAAATCCTCTTATCTTTCATTTGATTTAATATGATAGTAAATATATAAATTTAAATACATAAATTTTCTTTTTTGAAAAAGAAAACTCATGGAAACGAAGAGAAACAAATAGGGACAGAACTTTAAATGTTTTGGATAGGAAAGTTCTTAAACTGCCATGTTAGGCCAATTAATTGGTACTTCAAATATAGTGTCTTTCCCTAATCATCTTCCTATTCCAATAAATGATTTGACTTATCTTTTTCAAAGATGATGTAGAACCTCTCGTTCATTTGTTGTCAACCATTATTAGTCATTTGCTAATCAACCATCACACAGTATGATATCAACATTTTAATAGCACGTGGTATGGGGTATCATGAAAAATATTTTTAATGTTAAAAAATGAGCTTTGAAATATTTATTATATTTTTAAAAAGAATTAATGAGCATTATAAACTTTAAATTATTGCGTGAATGACAATATAAGCTTTAAATTTTTAAAATATGTAAAAACTTTTTTTAACTTTTAAATTTCAAACATTTAAAATCACATCGTTAAACTGAACAAAACAAGCATTATTTTTAAAAATCAAGATAAATGCTACATTAGCTTGTGATTAAGCTCCACAACTACAAAATTAATGGCCAATTTTTTTTAAATTAACGGTGAGATTTTAAATGTTTAAAATATAAAATTAAGGAGAGTTTTTGCATGTTTTAAAAGTTTAAAATTTAAGATATTATTCACATAAAAGTCTAGTGTCTGTGATTCTCACTAACTCTTTTAAAGTTAAATACTATTTTTAATTTATACTTTCATTGCCCATTTTATACGTAACATTTTATGCATTATGTTCCTTTCCTTGCATGCATAATGTTTTTTAGACCACACATTTCATTAGTAGTCCTAACCATTTAGTTCTCAATAAATTAAGACTTAGATCTTTGTCATGACTCGTGGGTGGACAGAGACGCGCCTCAAATCTCCACCTCAAGATTTGTACAGCTCTATTTATAGCTTTATTTTTTCACCATAAAACTTATCATTTTATTTTAAAATATTTTTGTTTAATTATGAGTGTAGAGTGTTAACCAATGTTAAGAATATCATATTGGTCATTGAATCAGCTAATATATTAGTTCATAATTCAATAGTCAAATTATAATCTAAATTATATTTCTTCTGTTTCTATATAGAAAAGAAAAAAATAATATTATATAATTTAAAAAAAATCAGGTGACGATGATAATTGTATCAAGAAATAAAAAAATTAAATTAAAATATCATGTGTTAATTAATATAAATATGCATTAATTGTTTCTCTTTAATGTAAATTGTGAGGGGACAATTCAGAATATTGTAATAAATGATCATTGAAATATGTGATTTTGATTATAAAAAATCAAAAGTAACGGTTCCTCTAACAAATAAAAATAGAGAAAGTAGTTTAACAAGTCATGAATAAATTGCTACATTTTAAATTACATGCTTAAAAAAATAACTATATGTAATAATAAAGATTAATTTTTAAATTTCAATCAAAATAATATAAAATAAAATGGTAATATTCATAAATATTTCATCATTTTAATCCAAAATATATATTGTCATTTTATAATTTATAATTTATAATTTATAACTTTAGAATACACACAGTTTATAAATATGAATTAAAATTCTTAAAAAAAATTAAAAACTATTGATTCAATCAATTTATCTACCGATTATGTTGGTTCTAGGCCAGTTCTCTAGCTAAGCATTTCTCAACTATAAATGAACTAGACTTAGGACCAGTTTAAGGTTCAACTAATTAAATTGGTCAGTTTGATCTGGTTTTTATAACATTGGTGTTAACTTCTTGCCTTTCTTTTTTGACAAACAAAAGCTCTTTGGAGAAATTATGGAAAAATTATTTTTCTATGAAATTCATAAATAATGAAATTGGATTCTTTACTTTATTGAGTACAAGCATTTTATAGAATGTGTTACTAGTAACGTTACTAGTTTACTACTATATCTTGTAAGCTATTTCCCCACTCATTTTTAGATTTTCTTTACAATGTTGTTAAATTTTTATTGATATTTTTATATGAAATTGAAAAATGAATTCAACTGAAATTTTTGATCAATTATATAATATATAATTAAGTATTATTCTACGAATCTAAATTAGGAAAAGGTAATAAATTATGCCATGGTAGATCTAGGTATAAATACAAAAGCGAAAAGCTACACCTAAGGCAAAAATGAGAACACATTAAATAATTTCACACAAACAACAAAAACATTAATGTCCCCTCTAAAAAGTTGTGGTCATAAAATTGTCAACCATCTCTCCCTGTTTTACTAGGATCCATTATGGTCCTTACCAAAGCAGATTCAATGAATTATTTTATATTTATTAAAATAAAAAATTTGTAAAATTATAAAAATTTGTAATAAATAGTTTTATTATCAACTGAGCCTACATTTAATTTAAAAAATTTAACTTAATTTTAAAAATTTTATATATTAAATACTCGGATGAATTATGCACAGCCCATATTTAAAATAAAATATGAAGGCGATGAGTAAGATGGACCTTTTTTTTTTTTTGTCCACAAGTAATTCTTAATTATCTCCACTACCACGTGACCTACGTTTTAATTAAATGGACGCAAAAACCAAACATTTCTGTTCTTTTTCCGAAATTGCATTTATGAGTTGGCGGCTTACCGCATCTTTTGTGCCGTTTATACTTTATAGCTCTATTTCTCTTTGATTGAGTTGTCTAATATTCTGAGAAATTTGAGGCGAATATCTTGAAAATATTTTTAATATTTTTATTTAATGTAATTATATATTCAGAATTTAAACTTGAGATCTCAACAAAAATTGATTCAACATTCTTGTTGAACAAAGTACGCTCAATTATACATTACTCTATCTGTGAGTATTCGTCAACCATTAAGGGCCGTTGGTTTAAAATTAAAAATGTTTGTTTTTAATTTTTAGATAGCTTCTGGCCAAAAAAAAAATTAGATAGCTTAAAAATTTTGTGAAAAAAAAATATTATTTTTTGTTTGTTTACAATAATAAAAAAGTAATTATTAATTAGTAATTTTGAAATTTTATCATATTTTTTGTATTTCATCTTTTTAAAACATTCTCTCTCAATATTAGCTTTTTAAATTAATCAAAAATATTTTTTTTTCATATTTTGATTATTTTATAAAGTTTAAACAAACACAATTAAAGCTCATAAAATATATTTTTTTAAAAAAAATAATGTTTTTTCATAAAATAAACTTAAGCAGATAGGCCTTAAATATTAACCCAAAAAGTCTTGGAAGAAAAAAACTCTATTATCCAAAAAAATTATCACTCCTAACTCGAATATGGTTAAGTCATTAATTTTGATTAAAATAAGTAAATTCTTAATTTTATTTATATTTAAATAAAAAAATTCATATTTGCATTATGTTCACTGACATAATTAATAACTTTAAATCAGAGATACCGAAAAAAAAATTAATTAATAACTTCTTGAAGTGATTTGTAACAAAGACTATTCATTTTTTTAGGTGTATGAGAAATTACCTTACAACCTAGATTAAAAAACACAAATAAGTATTGTTATATTGAAAAAAAATAAATTAATAATTTAATCCATATTATATAAATTTTGTAGAAAATTGACAAATAGTAAGTCAATAATAAATCTATTTTAAAATGTATATGTTTAGTTTATAAGTTTTTAATCGTGAATTATTCTTCGTCATTAACATAATATTTACAAATTTAACAACCTACTATTTATAAATTATAGTTATAGACATGAATAATATGATTTTTTTAAAAAATTTTGTTAAATGCAATTAATGAGAATTTACACACAGAAAAATTAATTATTATAAAGTCTATTAATAATTAAAATCTATGTGGCACTTCAACGTAATTGTCGCTTAAATTAACCTTTGGTAATAAACAAGATAGAAACTTGCCTGGAGCTTGCTCTGGAGTAGAAACCGGCATTAATGGAGCTACCACCACCGAGAACCCTAGCTCGAGCATTCAGGACTCCATCAGTTGAAATGAAGTATTGGGAAGGTGAAGTTGCAGAAGTGTCCGCCAAGGTAATGTGAAAATTCTCCATAAACGACACATTCGGATTGTTAAACGGCACGCCCCCTCTTTCCAGCACTAGTACTCTGAATTTCTTTGATAGCGTCGCAGCCAGAGGGCATCCTGCAGTTCCACCTCCCACTATGATATAATCATACCCATCATTGTTCCATTTTGCTGAAATCGATGAAGATGATGAGAATGAGCTTGCCTTTCTGATGAATGGATACCCCTTTTGATTCCAGTTCTTCTCACCTGCATTCAATGTTTCAGGTTATCTTTGTCAATTTCCTTCTGATATGTTGCTGCTTCTACTGAAATAATACGAGTTTGCAAAGTAATATCTGTCTGATGGCTCTCTTTTCTGGACATTGAAAGTGAAGGATGTGTTAATTCATGAGGAATTTGAGTAAAAAAGAGAATCTGTGATGATCATGAACAAAACCCATTAATCTGCTAATATTGAAGATGTAGGAAATTGAGAATTTAGATCTTGGTTTGTGATCTCTTGATCTGAAAACTCCATGAAGTATAAGAAAAACTAGCGCTTTGGCTACATAATGTGTAGGATTGTATGATACAGATGTTGATGCTTTGATCAGTGATCACAAAGCACACAAACCAAATAGATTTATAATTCACACTGGAAAACAAGAGAACTCTTAGCCCTCTATTTCCATAGAGATTAGCTCTGAAAATAGAGAGGTTGACAAAGAAACAAAAGATGGATCCAAGATTAAGAAGAAATTGAGCACAAAATGGTAGCATTACGAGTTAAAGGACTCAACCTTGACAAGGAGTTGGAGAGCTGAAGAGCCATAAAACTAAACACAGCAAGAATTTGACTGCACTAACTGAAGCCATTGAATCTCACAGGTCACAGAAAAGGGCACTCAATGAAGCAGCTGTTCCCTTCCAAGCCTCTAAGTGGCTGCCCCTCGTTGGCCTTGTTTTCCGTGAGCATACTATATATGTATACTGTGTGCGTATATATTTACCCTCACAAAACTTTACACCATGAAAATACTTAAAACAGATAACACGTTCTAGCTAAACCGTATTCTATAAATTAAGCTAAATACAATTTATTAGTAGTATGAGGAAGGTAGCAAAGTCAAAGTGTGAAATGAGAGAGTTAGGAGTTAGAACAGAGCGCTACCCTCTCTACCATATTTAAGAATGCTGAAACTACGACACGAGAAGTCATTTAATGGTGAAATGAATGCCACGGTTAGCGTGAAGTGGTTGTAGCCGTAGGATTTGGGATAGTTTTATGTGATCACGTTCAACAGCTCCTTCAATGACAGCTCACTTACCAGCATAATACTATCATAAAGCTCCATATTTAATATGCCACCAAAACTATGCAAAGCCATTTTAGCTGCTCATACGTGAATTGAGTTGTCTTGCCATTTTCTTGTTTCGTCTAGATACCACAACCTGGGCTTTCTCTATGTACAACTGTCTCCAGGACTAGAACTATCCGTCATTAATACTAACATTAGAACGGTAGCAAGATCGGAAGAAAAAGGAAAAAAGGGAAGAAGAGAAAGAAAAAGCAGGAAAAAAGGTTCTTGAATCAACAAATGGTAAATATAAGTTGCGGAGAGGAAAGGAAATCGGTTTTCCTTTTGCTTGGTTTAAATTATATGGACTCCAACGTGGAGAATAATGTTGACAGAATAGGCATTAATGTCGGTATTGTTAGGTGGCCTTTGTAAATCCAGGGCTGGATATGTTAATTAGAAGATAGCACTGTAAGAAGCTCATCTTATTCTGTTTGAAGTAATTTATACTATTTTAATTTATATTTAAAATCATTGTATTTAGTATTTTGTCATAAGTTGGAGATGTCATTTAAGACATCAATGTAATATTAGGACTAATATTTTAAATTGTTAAACCCTTTTAATCTTTATGAAGAATATAAAGATCAAAATTTTAAAATATTTTAATCTTTATAATTTTATTTTTAAAATATAGTGACCAATATTTAAATAGTTAAAATTATAAGCATTGAGTTGCAAGAATTAAAGTTCGAGGATTGAGTTAAAACTAAATTAAAACTATAATAATCTAATTACAATGGTAAGTTTTGAAATTGAGTTACAATAACAACAATAACAACAAACTTTATCCCACTAAGTAGGATTGATTATATGGATTATACAACATTATTGTACTCTATCATTTATGAAGCATTTGGAAATGTTGTTAACTAAGAAATCTTAATCAATAATTTCTAAAAGTGGTCTTTTGGCATTTTTTTACTCTTTTTAACAAGGTTTAAAGTTATTTATTTTACTTTTTTCAAAAGTGGTTCTCATAATCTTTCATGTATATATTCAAATCATTTGAAATGATTTTTTATTATTTTCTCATAAATAGATACTATACTCACTTTTTTCATATGTGTTTAGAGATTGAGTTACAATTAGATCAAAATTATGAGAATTAAATAATTAATTTTCCTTAAAAATTACCTCATCCCACTCAACATTTGCACTTGTTATATCAATGACACCTCTTGAAGTTTTACTATTATGTGTTATGGCTGGATTGTTTGCACTTTTTATACAAAATTTTTACAATTATCATACAAAGCAGGAACAATTTAATTTACCATTAATACTTTGTCCGTTTTTATTTATAAATCACCCCTCATAATTTACATTAATAAAAAATAATTGATATATATTTATGTTGATTAACACATGACATTTTGATTCACTTATTTTATTTTTAGACATACTTTTATTGTGAATTAACTTTCTTAAATTATGTGATATATTTATATATATATATATATATATAAATAAATGGAGGGAGTATGATACAGTCTTTGTCTTCCGAGTACACCGTTATCTCATTAATTATGGATCGATAATGCAGCAAATATAGTTCTTTAATGAATCTATTAACTGTTGGTTTGTTAAATTGGTAAGGTACAGGAGGTGGGCGCATTTAAGACAAAGAAGAGACGCAACCACTGAAAAAGCATTGTGAAAGCCACATCTCACACTTATAAATTGGCATGATCCTCATCCTCTCTCTTTCTCTCTCTCTCCCCCCTCGCGAGCGCGCGCGCACGAGGAATGATTATTTCGGTCGAAGTTGAATGTAAAGGATATGATCACCGTTTCTTCTCCTTTTTTCAAGCACCTGTAATATGTATTCAAGGCTTCTGATGTTTGTCAGATTCATCTTCAAAGCTGAAGAGACTATCTCTGAGAACTTGGGGATCTGTTATGTCAGCTTCGACCTTCAAGCCAGACTAGAATATGTTACACACTAATTTTGACTTTGATTTTTGGGAGAATGACGGAGAGTTTCAAAACACCAAGGTTTAAACTTTAAATATCAATTTAGACAATTATAAACATACATTTCAATTATAATCTAATAATTATATTTTAAATTGAAATACTATATCTATAATTCAAATTTTTGGATTTATAATGGTCTAAATTCACATTTTCAACTCATTTTTCAAAAAAAAAATATTAGAATATAATGGAAATTACTTCAATTTTTTTAAATCTAATTATCATTTTCTCATTTTTAAATTATTTTTTTTATATCAACAATCAAAACCAACTAATCAATATTATTTTACGTTTTGCCACGCCTGATAATATGGTGGCATGGAAACTCTTCTATATATAAGAGGTTACATGATTGTTCCTGCCATCTTTAGTTGTTAGCATGCTCTTGTAGCCTAAGAAAAAAAGTGTTGGTTTTCATTTTTATTTTGTTTCACATATTTAATAGGGAGAATTACAGCTATATTTCGTATAAAAAAATTAATTATTATAAGATTTATTTATAATTGAATTAAACTGTATTGACAACATTCAGTTGTCAATGAATCTTATAATAATTAATTTTTTTATATGAAATTTTAATTTAATTCTCCCTATTTAATATTCTGCATATCATTTAATTTCAATGTTAAGAAAATCCAATTAGTTATTAAACCGATGACCAAAGCACTTATTCACGGTTTAATAGTTGGATTATGATAAAACCAATCACAATATATTGACGTATTTTAAATAATGTGTAGAATTTTTTTTTTTTAAAAAAAACATGTTATCGGTATAACAAGCTGAGCTATCAATTTTATGATTTTGTTCGATTTGAGACAAGTTTTACCAATTCTTCAAGTTGCCAGTTTTCTCCCATAATCAAACTGAACACTTTATATTTGATCTCAATTTATGTCAAAAGATTCCTCCAACCCCACCTTTCATTATGAGTGGGTTGTCCCAAGCTATATTATGTTTAGTTCTCCGATGCCTCATTGACACTTCTTCCCATGACTTGGAAGTTATAACATTCCTTAAACATTTACATGTGATCCACTATTTCGTTCTCATCCAGAATCTAAACAAAGCTTCGTGCCCACTTATGAGAGTTAGGTAGCAATATAAAAATGGGTCATGATTTCACCAATTTCTTTGTTATAAATCAAGAGAGTTTCTTCTTTTGAACAAATATTTGAAGGTTGTACATGGTTCAAGTTTTTACTTACTAGCATATCATTTCCTTTAATTCACTTATTTAACATATATACCCTAAACCATTTCTACAAAGATATCATTGTATTGGTAACATCATAATTCATACTCCCTCTGTTAAAAAACATGAGATATTTTTTGAAGGATTGAATATTAAAAAATATAAGACATTTTTAATATTTTAAGGTACAATTGTTGCCTATTTTTTAAAGTGTCCCTATTAAATAATCACTTTATATTTTTTTAGAGTGAAATACTCTATTACATAAGAATAAATATGAAAAGATAATGTTAATTTAAAGATAAGTAATTATTTTATTGAGAGTGAGATTTTATTAAAAATACCTTTTATTTTTTAATAGAGGAAATAATATTTTTTAATTTGCCCGTGTCTAAGTGTGGTTGATTTTTTTTTAATAGTTAAATTCATTAGAATCTATAAGCTTGCCAATAAGTCTCGTCTGGTAGTAAGAGTGCTACCAAAAAATTTTACAGTTTCTTTTAGGAAAAAAACACATTGTTCCAACTTTTACTCTGTAAAACACTCAAAAAATAATTGTTAGACGTATCTCTAAATTTATTTTTGTTCTTATACACAGTCCAACAAAACTAAAGGGAAAAATGATAGAAAAATCTATTTAAATTATGTAAATAACAGATTGATCTCACAAAACGGCATAATTTTCTTAGAGTGCCATGAGATTTTTTTTCCTTAGAGAATTAGAGAAAATGACCAAATTATTCTCAAATAAAGCAAAAATCTTTGAAGTTGTGAATGACTATTGAATTGTTGGGAATTTAAAAACAAAAATTATAAATAAAAAGTTACAAATTTTCAACTATTGATGCATATCACCTACATATGCAGAGTTGTGAATGACTATTGAATTATTATAAATTTAAAAATAAAAGTTGTTAATACAAGAATAAAAGTTGTCAATCAAAAGTTGTGAATTTTTAACATCTGATGTATATCAGGACCTGCAGATATAAAGTTATAAATAACTATTGAATTGTTGTGAATTTATAAATAAAAGTTATTAATATATGAACAAAAGTTGTGAATTTTCAATACCTAATGTATATCAGGACTTGCGAATACCTATTAAATTGTTGTGAATTTAAAAACAAAAGTTATTAATATAGAAACAAAAGTTGTGAATTTTTTTAATATGAATAAAGAGAAAAAGTATCATTTCCTATAATTTCCTAATGATAGAAACATCTTTTGAAATTCCAAAAAAATTATGTCATTTTATAAGATTAATTTATTATTTATATAATTTAAATAGATTTTTTTTGTCATTTTCTCAAAGTAAAGATTTTGAGTATCTATCTTAATACTGAAATACCTTTTTCTTTTTTTTGTAGAAACAATTTAAAACTCTTTCTATGAACTCCAGTCAAACCTAAACATCTTTACGTAATTTCTAGATCAAAAATTTATATTCTATACTCGATCTTGGCCTCTAGAAAGGTATCAAGAATTTATATTTTACAACCTATATGGTAAAGATTAAACTTACCCATCTAGTTGAAAATGTCTTTTTCACTTTTTCTTTATGCAGGTTATTTTGATGAATTTAAGGGAATTCACCAAGATGTAT